TTCCGAAACGCGCACTTCGCGGTACATATGGATTTTTTTATATAGAGAAGAAAGAGAAGAAAGATACGTGTGTGTATACGTGTATATATATATATATATATACATTTGCAAAAAGTTAAATCCATTTTTTTTCTCTACACAATCTAAAAGGACGTGATACATTCACTCGCAATCCGCCGCGGAACGGCGTAAACGGGCGAATGCGATAAGAAGGGATTTTCGACGTCGACGACACGTCGTAGGACGTTGGTATCCCATTACGAGAGAAAGAGTAGAGCGTGGGTTTCCCGTGCCGTATTTCCGGCAGGAGTTTCTTATCCACTTCGGTCGAAAAGCGTGATATCGTGGCCGCCATCGCGCGATAACGTTTAAAAACTTCGTCCGGTGTAATTTCACACCGTATGTGTCGTCGCGTAATCTACAGCAAACTCGACGAGCGCGGTTTCTTTGCTGACGTTGTATTGATAAACTTGGCTCTCTCGAGCGAGAAAGTACGACATCTTGTGCGAGATTTTACGTGTGAGATATTACCGATATGATACAATATTTGTAATTGCAATTTATAATTATATTACTACAATTGAATCTTATATAACTGCAATTCTCTCGAGAAACACATTCGTGAGATGGAACGGTGATAAGTTTTGCTACCGAGATGCGGATGTAAATGAAACTGCGGAAATTACGCAAGCGAAAGACCAGATGTAGCTGGAGCACGACGTGGCGCAAGAAATTCGAGTTGTCGCGGCAACCCGTTCCGCCCTCGATTATAGTCGCGAAAATCTCTGTTTATTTGCATACGGCAAAACGTCGCCGTGCTGAAGATGCTTTTTCAATCTTCGGCGAGGCAAGTCGACGACAACGACAACGACGACGACGACGAGTCTCGGAGATATCGCGATCGCGTAACGGGTCCTACACTCGACACGACCTTCGTTTTGTGTGTTCTCTTAATTCTCGAGACCGCTATGTGTAATGTGCGCTATGAGCGAATCGATTACCGATTCAACGACATTGACCTGGATTTTTTTGAAAATATTTGAGAAGCTCTTAGCATCGTTCCTCGGACGTAATACGTGTGTACACGTGTGCATAAAACGAATACGTGCGAACGTATATTGGGAATTAAATCAGGTTTCGGGGTCGGCAAATTTGAATCCAATCGAATCGATATTCTTGTACGAATACGAAGAGAGACTTCTACTGTTTTGGCTCATGAATTTTGAAAGATCTCGGAAACGACGGCGAAGCGACGAAATTTACGTGGGTGACGTAATATATTCCCCGAAACTTTCTTTATGTTAATTCGCTGTCGCGGCGGGCCGAAGTTAAACGAACTGGCACAATGAGAAATAAATATGGTTAAACGAAAATGTAGTCGCGACGGGTAAGCGCGCGTATTTGGTTTATTATTATTACTCGTTTTACGCGAGGGTCGCTGGTTTTCACAATCGATAAATGTTAGGAGCAAAAAAAGAGAGATGGAGAGAGAGAGAGAGATGTAAATGTAACGAAAAACAAGAACTAGGTTACTATTCTTGTGCTTTTCTCTGCTTCTGGCATGTCACTTCAATATTAATTTTATCAAGTGCAACCATTAATTTTCTCGCAATGAATTTTGCAAATTTATTCTTGGAGAAATGTTGTTACACGAGAGAGGTGCTAGTTGAGTATAAATATAAATTTATTTGAAAATCGATTATACATCGACGAATTTGTAAATAAAGACTACACTAATTTTTATTATTTTGCACTAACATCTGCGTTTGACTTTTACAGATCTTGGATACTTGGATTATTTTTTTTTTTTTGTTACACTTTCGAGTTTCTTTCATTTATTTGTCTTAAAAAATTATTGAGCATTATGTAAGATATTACGTAAAAAGAAAATAAAATATACATGAAGATTCATTTCGTCGTCGAATATCTCTGGCATTAGGACGCGCGGGTCCGGCGTATATTATCTATCAGCTCAACTCTAACGAAACTGAAGAAGTTAATTGCCAACGACGACGTGTGCAGGACGTCGATCTTGATGGCGGGACCAAACATCAACGTTCTCGCGACGAAACGAACCGACCTTTCTCGGTGCGGTCCCGAGAGATCGAGCGATCAGAGCACGCGACGCGCGCGTTAATTAATTTCCGGCCTAACGAAGTCCTCGGCGCGCAGACCGCCGCAGATTCGTCGTCGCGCAGGGCACGTCGTAGACGTACGACAGGTAATTTTCGGCAGCAATTCGATTCCGTGAAGGATATCGGATACGAGGGGAAATGCAAGACCGAGCGCCATGATCCAATTTCGCGATTTTCACCAAAACGCTCTCTATCTCTCTCTCTTGTGTCTCTTTTCGTCGGTTATCAATACCGCTTATCTGTGCCGTGAAATAACAACGAGCGTTGGCCGTTTGAGATACATAATACGCACGAGAGATCATGATTCGCAAAGCAAAATGAAATTATTCCCAAGAATCAGAATGGCTTTTAGCATTTTTACATTATAATTAAAATTTAAAATTGCTTTTAGAGAATTAGGGTAAAATAAATTAAATCTTTTTTTTTACTGATTTTTTAATGCGGAAAACCTAACACGCGGAATCAAAATTCAAGAGAAATTAATTAATTTTCTTATTAAACCGTTGCACGGCCCATCATTCGAATTGCGCAGTTTAGTGTTAATTGACTAATGCGCACTTTATCGACATGATTGCAATTTTGAGAGAAGAAGAAGAGAGAGAGACACCGAGAGAGAGAGAGAGAGCAGTTCATCGATATCGAATATTCTATATACCGTTAATTAATTGTATGTTAATCCAGAACGACCAGCTTTGCAACGCGCTGACTATCGAGAACAACTCGGATAATGTTGGAGATTGAAAATAATTACAGCGTATAAATAAAATCCTCGATCTGGCGTTCATGCGCAAAACCTTCTAAATAGCATTCCCGCGAACGTAGCTATTAGTGGGCTGTAATTGTCAATTACGATAGAGTGTAAATGTTTGCACGACGTTGTCATTGTGTGTTGCAAATTCTATTAAAATTATATAAATTATCAGAAATGTAATTAATACACAGCTAGTAGCGTTGAAATTTATTTATTATTTTGCCTATCAGTTTAATATTAGCAATATTTGTATTAATTTCATTCATCAGAGCGATATTTGTGTTTGACCGCAGTTTATTTATATTAATACTTCACATTAATACTTTATTATTTATATTGACCGTTTGGCCGGAAAGTGTCCGATTAAACCCGTATTGGACACATAAATAGATTTCGATAATATATCGCAGATACAGAGTGTATCTGTTTGATCGCAAGCCGAACTACTTTTACATGTTTCTAATTTATGCGATAGATATTTGAATGAATTGTGCAATTTTTTCGCATAATTTTGTCGAGTAATCATGATTTATACTCTTTGCGCATTTTCCTCTCTTTCCCGCGCACACACGTATACATCATGATGTTGGTGCAGCACCGCCATGCACCACCGCCGAGAACAAAGCCGCCATCACGTTAAAGTCATTAATATCACTTTACCCTTTCATTGCCGTGGCGCCGGAAAATGATAAATTCTCCGCGTCTCAGAACATCAGTCGTCGCTGGATGCAGCAGCGACTGTCCGTCGTTTCGCGTCGATTCTTTCTGTTCGATATGCAGTAACCCGATCTCTTTCTCGGCGCGTCAGAAGCCGGAAAAGAGTGAGAACGAAGCGAGTCTCATGACTCACGCGAAAATCGATAGATAGACGACAACGAAGAAGTGCGCGCTCTCTTTCTCATTTTGATCCCCCGTTAAATCTTAATTGTTCACATCGAGATCGACGAGAGAAAATTCTCTATTCTCGCACATCAAACGTAATTTTTGGTATTTATTCGAAAGACTTTTTTCTGATAAATTTAACAATTAATTTCATGTATGTTTTTTATAGACAAAGTTCAGAAATAAAGCAAATTGCGTCGATCCGATTCTCTTTGCAAAAGCCTTTATTATTAGAAACGCTTGACACACAGCGAACCTGACTGTTTAAAATTTGGTAAATTAGTTAAAAGTATCAGCTTTCCAACACTTGAAACTATATCAAATTCACCAGATACTATTCTAACAGATATTCGGATTTAACGTAATTGAGTGAAAATCGCGAACAAACAGAAAATTTAACGGACGCATTTCTATCACATTTACTTCGGTTTTTCTTCTTTTCTCTCCGACCGGTTCCGATTTTATGAATTTTTTTTTTTTTTTTTTGCTTGACTGATATTTCAGACAGCTCAAGATTTATGTATATATTTTTCAGCGAGATATCCGCCCCCACAATTTTACAATTTAAATTCGCTTCCTTCCATTTTCGGGCACGGCCGCTTATTTGGAAATGTGTATTGTTCGCTTGAATTTCTATTCGCGCATTTTTCTTACCACATTGCGCCAGGTGCTAAAAATAATACTATCACTAAAATGCCAGACGGTAATTTTGATTTATTTCAGATATCAATTGTCCGAATATCTAACGTTCTATTTCATTCGCTTCGTGTCCATTCAAAGCATTAAGAAACCGGCCAATCAACCACGCCGTTGAATGTAGAATTCGAAGACTTGCGTCTTTATAGCGAAACATTTTCTCATACAGCCGAGACAAGAGTCTCTAAGGAGATTTATCAGTCACGACGAGAAAAGTGGGCATTAGCGCGGCATTAACGGCGCAAATAAGCGGCGCTCTGTTTAGTGCGGCGGAGTATATCCGGCAGCGAGTAAATTGTCTACATTTTTCAAGAGTTTTCCCTGACGTTTACCATCACGTTTTCTCTCCCGGCTTTACTTCTTAAAGATAAACGCGAATGCGTCGGTGATGCACGTTTCGTTTAATTGCAAAATTAAAGTAAATTAACAGATTAAAGTTAATTGATAAATTAAAGCGAACGAGACGTCGAGAGCGCGAATATAACAAGAAACATGTGTGTGTATGAGCTTGAGATAAAAAAAGACCGATAACTCACCGATGGTCGTTATCACAGTCAGAGAATACAGAAAAGCGCCGGCGAAAGTCCACTTATTTTCCTCGACCCCGTCGTAGCCATTTTTTATGGCCGACACCACCTTCTTCTGGTAACTCTCGAGGACGACCCTTACCTTTGCTTTCCAGATCTTCTCCGAGAACACGTTTTCCTGCGCATACAATATCAACGGTGTCGAAAGATGTCTTGGAGAAAAGTGTCCTGTCTTGTCTTGACATTAATGAAACACGCACGGCGAAACCTCGAAAGAATTTAAATCAAATTTAAATTTAATACAACATCTCAACAATTCTCAAAGCAGCAATTTGTAATCCCGATATCTAATTTTATCGCGACGTAAATTTTAAATCGGTTTTTCCTATAGAGAATATCGTTTCTAGGCAAGTAAAATTTTAAGGTTTTACGACGTGTGTTCTCTCTTCAAATATGCGCCAAAGAGACACATCGTAAAGGGCGAGGGGCCTATACATCCAACCCGCTCTCGGGAGAAAACCCTTGCGTATCACAATTTCACCACCGCGGACAGCCGCAGCAGCGAAACGCAGACGATCCGCATAAATCCTTCACCTTCGAGGTCAGTTCCCAAAGGGTGGCGGCCGTCAAGTTTCTCAGTTGAATGACGTCGTCTGCGACATTCGGGCTGGTCCTCTTGCCCTCGATGTGGGCGAACAGGAAGGCGCCCGCTATAGTGTAGCCCACCACCAGACACACGATGCCGACGTTGCTGAAGAGGAAGGCTATCAGCGCACGGACCCAGTCGCAGATCCGCTCGCCCAACGGCTTTCGTCTGCGTTTCCGCCGCCTTCCGCTCCGTCCGCGATAACTTCCACGCTGCAGGCTCCGACTGGTCGACGATCGCGAGGGCTTGTCCGTTTCCATCGTCGTGAGAACGACGATGTCTCTCACCCCGACCGGATCACTTCGGACAGATTCGCGGGCATCGCGCTTTCGCTTCGTCGAGCATATGTTTCACTTTACGAATCCCGTCGCCTAATAACGCACCGATGCAACCGCGAAATTTTTCCACAGAGAAAATTCCCACATTGCTGCTCGCGAATCGCGAAAAATTAATTCAACAATATCATCTTTTTGCTGGATAATTGAGGCGAATAAAATCGCGAGCTGTCGACGCGTCGGAATTTTTTTCCCCAAGATTCTCGCCCCTTAAAGTGTAATTATTAAAATTACGGTCGGTGACCTAAAAAACAGTTCACGCGCACCGGTTAGACCGATCGATTATCGCGTATTATTACCGAAGCCGGGAGACGGCTCATATATAACGGATCGCGATGCGGCGCGGTCGAGGGGCGGCACGTAAGAAGATCGTGAACTCTTATGTGCGAGCACTGACCGGGGCTAATGGAGAATTACGCCGGGCGAATTTAATGGAAAACGTCGTATCTCGAGGTCCTCTTCTCCCGCAGCGGTCGGTTGCCCGGAGTATCTGGTATCGACTCCGTCATGGTCCGCGGGGAATCGAAAACACGATGTCCCCGCTCGCCATCGCGGGCAGGGATTGAGCCACTTGGCCGCTTAACAAAATCTATTGTGAAACTGTTTACTATCCCGAGTAAAAATGATCGACGATTTCCCCCCGCGTGATAATACGTACGATCCTTGGTTTTAATTAAATTCCAAGCGAGGCAGCGTTCGCGAAGGGGATAAATCGAAAGGGTGTGAGATCAATGTACCACACGGAAGAATTAAACACTCCTCGATTTTTTCCTTTAAATTAAACTCAAAAGCGTCGACTTTTTCTTCGCGATATTCTTCAGATTGGACTTTTTTCACAGAGACATTGTGATTGTCGTAATAATAATAACCCTATTGAACGTCTGCGATGTCACCTTGTTTTTTTGTGAAAAGATCCTTGATCTTCGTGACCTTTATCGTCTGCCCCTGTAGTTACACGTAGAAGAATCGTCACTCGAGAACACGCGAGCGATATATTTCGACCCGGGAGGTTTGTCCCCGATGACGTTCTCTCGCGAACGTAGGCGAGAACGCGATGACGTATGCGCGCGGAAAGATCGATACGAAGAGAAAAAGAGTCCCCATCCGCGCGGACGACCGGAATACGCTCGCTCTCGTATCTCTTCGCGCACTAAAATCCCCGGATCTCCATTGAGACGGGCGATTACCGCGGGCGTTTTATATGCGCGTTTTCTGCGCGAGCTATACTTAGATACGTACACGTCTATGCGGCTAGTACACTAGACAGGAGATTACGAGGAACCGCCACGTGTTGAGAAAAAGCCGCCGCCTCATTAAGTTTAAAAAAAAAAAAACTCTTTCGTTTCTTCTTAGAGATCATCTTCGCGGAGCTTCTTCTCCATCAATCTCGCCGCGATAATGTTTCTCGCTCTTCACCAAGCGCCTCGATTTCTTGAGCAACAGCACGCGCACAGTCGTGTTCGCGTTAATTGTCGCTCTTGTGGATCCAACATATCCGGCCAACGATCCCGTTACATCATTATCGCTATGTATAAAAAATACATATATATATATATATTTATATATATGTATACGAACATATATACACACATGTATTTATATATTTATGTGTACATACGCATGGCAATAATACGCGCGAATGATTTTCGAACAAACAAGGAAGCCTCGCTGCGCAAAGGGTTCGAAAAGGTCGAAGACGGCTTCACGGTAGATCGCCTAATTGTCGGCATACGCAAACCGTGCGAAAAACGACCCGCCTCGACGAGACTCCCCCGTAAACTGATTTCGAGGCACCCCGACACGCAATAGCGCGAAATGTCCCGAAATAGCGCGTCGCCGAAAATAACCGGGTTCAAGTTGCTTAAAGCCTGGTCGTGCTGCCGGTCGCGTATCATCGACTTATCGGACACCCGCTATAAAGCACCGGCGCTTAATTCGGATAAAAAAAATTATCGCGATATCGAGAGGCGAGATCGAAATCGGAAAAGCGGTTTTTAACAAACTTATAAACTCAAAATAAGTCCTTCTTTTCTCGTCCGAATTCCGAATATCTCTCTCGAGGTTTTGTTTTAACGATTATTCAAACAATCGATTACTCTCTCTGTGCGAAAGAATAAGTGAAAGTGGATTGCTGCGGAATATTTCTCGATAGATAAAATATTCACCGGAGTACGTCTACTCCGCGCAAAAATATTTAACTTCTCGCGAAGAATAATTTTGTGTTGCCGAGAGAGAGAGAGAGAGATCGTGCGGCACGTTGCCTCGGTCGGCTTTAAAATTTATGAAATGCAGATTTCTCGCGCACGCCGCTGGGGGTGGTTCGTAATGGACGCAAACGGAAGTTCTTAGCGACTATTATTTCTCCTTCGAGTGGGCTTTATCGCGCGATTATCAAGTCGTTGAAGCCAGAACTGTTAACGGCATGCTGCCGCCGCCGCCGCTGCCGCCGCCGCCGCCGCCGCCGCCGTCGTCGTCGAGACGATTAACGTCCTCTGCGATTTAAACAGCGAAATGCGACTGCGAACGTAACAGCGTATGAAACGTAACGTGTCCCTGTATGCGTGAGCGGGTCGCAAAGGGGATGAAAGGGATTTGCATAGCAAGCGTGAATTTCGCATGCGGCAAGTGCGTCCGGGAAAATATTGTAAGAACAATCTTCCGCGAGCGGAAAGTAGTAAGCCGCGCGAAAATGTCGCGCACTCGCTCGCTGAGAGATAATCGCATTCCCTCGTCACGCGCGCGCGCGTGTGTGCACGGATGTGTTCGAAGAAAATTTAAAGGACTGCTGGGAAAAAATCCGGGGAGAATATCTCTTAAAAGCGCGTTTCGCAATTTTAGCGATTTTACGTAGCTTCTTAAAAAAAAAAAAAAAAAACAGAAACGAATATCGCGCGCTCGACGAAATTTTGTCTTTTGCGACGTGTTTGCCGAGAAAAATTAAAGTGTCTGCGCGTAAAAATGTTGTGCGTTACATTTTGGCAAACGCGCAAAATATAACAGAGGCAGAAAACACGAATACTAATATTACAATCATATAACATATGCTTACATATTTTATAATTTTTATTCAAGTATATCTCTACTTCTTTTTTCTCTTTACGTGTAATACACGTAAAATTGCATGCAAACACAATTATATGATAAACTCCTGAAAAGAAACCACTCGAAATGCAAATGTCGACTAATTATTAAAGCAACCGCTATGCAATATATATGTAAATCTAATTGCATTTTGCAATTGTTCTTTCATTTATTTTATATAGAAACTAATTCTCAGAATTTACGTACGTATGTATGTATACCAGCGGCATTACACAGCGCGGTATTTTCTGATTCGCAATATGTGGTGGTTTTTCTTCCCGACGTTATTCCGTAAATACAATTTGAGAATAGAGCGTTTCAACGTGCGCAGATATTGAAACTTGCAATTTTTTTTTTTTTTTTTTTTACCCAAAAGACGTTTTCAAATCTAAAAGTCCGTTTCTCACGTATTGCAATTTTCTCGTATTCAAAATGTCAATTTCTTCGCCTATTTCATATATCATATCAATAAGTGACTCACTGAGTGACGCCACGCGAGTGACAGAATGCAAATTCATACTTACATCGATTTGATTTCGCGTGTCTGTACCGATTTATTCCTACGCAAGAAACTCTCTCGCGTAGAAAAATACATATCAGATTATTTATTCTCTCCAAGTATATTCGAGAGATTTTCGCGCGAGATCAGGTCTGTATATTTGGTTGTATCGCAAAACTGACTTATACGTTCTTGACTGGGAGATAAGAGGTGGGAGGAGAGGAAACGTGAACCTAGAAATCCGGAGAATTTCTCGTGTTGACGACGCAATGGATGACGCGCGTCCTCGATCTCGTCTCGAATGATAAGCTGAAAACCGCGAGATCATAGCTTGGGCTCGTTTTCATAAACCTCCTCCTCGTACTCGGGGTCGTATTCGTCGTAGTCCTCGGCCTCTTCCTCGTCGTCGGTTTCTTTGATGATACCCAGCCTCTTTGCGACGCTCTTCACGTTGTTGATGACCTCTTCTTGCACCAGATTAAAGCTCATTGCCAGCAAAGCAATTCCAAATAGCAAGTAGAGGGAACAAAGAGCGATGCCCTTCTGCGCGTACGCCGGCACAAAGTCGCCGAAACCTTAAAAGAGAAGAGAAACGGGATATCACGCGTGACTCTCGCGTACGAAGTTAGCGCGAAGTTTATGGCTGTAGATAACTAGACAAGAGCACAAATTTTATCTCACTAAAATATCAATTTCCGTCTCTCGTATTGTTTCCAAAAAGTAAAAAACCTGCAAACTTGAATAAAAAGTTTATGTTGTTAATTTTACTAAATTAAATATTATTGAAAACAATATCTTTTACGAATAAAAAAAAAAAAAAAACAGAAGAAAAGAATGGCAATAAAGAGAAACAAACCGATGGTGGTCAACGTGATGAAGCAGAAGTAAGCCGAGTCGAGTAACTCCCATTTCTCCCATTTGCTGAAGAGAAAAGCGCCGCCAAAAATGTAACTAACGACCAGGAAGACGCACAGCCAGATGGGCACGGGTTTGATCGGCTGTCTTTCCTGCTGGTCATCCGTGCTGGAGTGGTGGTCGTAGTCAAAATCAATTTCGTCGGTGTAAACCTGTCGATGCACTGCGAATCCCATCGGAGACATAATCCTCGGCGACAGTGGTGGTCCCCGTTTGTACGAGCGCGCTGGGGACGAATATGTAACGATTAGGAAATACACGAGTATCGATTGGTTTGTTATTGAAGAGTCGTACATCGTTTAATTAGAAAAATGCAATCAAAAACTTGAAACAATGTAAACTTTTTCTCGATACGGATTAACGAAGTGTGTTATAAAACTTGTTACGTTTATATCTTTTATATGTACGCGCTAAACAACGTGTAAGACTTAAAGATGCAAATAAAATTCTTGCATTTAATATCAACTTCTGAGAATTATTTTTTTTTAATCTCAATGGTATATTTATTTAAATTTAAATTAATTTTTTTTTGTCTCGAAATTTCTCATCAGCAGTTGCGCGAAATCAGCGCAATTATTACACTGATTAGTAATTCAGATTTAATTCCCGAAATATTTGCATTCATCACCAGCTCGCTCACCGACGGGATAATTGCTCCTAGTGCGTCTACTACTCTTGGTGGATTGCGATCGTCTCATATGTTCCATTTCCAAATACACAGAAGTGGGTCGAAGCCCGGATGCCATATTCGCTCTGTGATTCGTCGTGGTCCCTTCTACCGAAAAGCATCTTCTCGGCAAGGATCTAGGATTGAAGGTTGTTTGCTTTTCGACGCTATCCGGCTCTTCGGTCATTTCATTGCTTGGTGATTTTTCCGAGTTTTCGACTGCAATTAATATTGATTTTATTATAATGTATTTGCACACGGCGATCTCTTTGAGAGCGTCTTGAACACCACGTTTGATATCGCGTTTGAATTTTTCAATAATATAAATAGTATTTGTACTACAATTAAAAACAAATTTAATTTATTTGCGTAGTGGTGATACTTGCCTCTGTTTTGCGGTGGCGGCTGCCACTTCAACATCTCGTCCTCCAAATCGTCCAGCGCATATTTATTGCACAAAACCGGCGAACGATCCACATCGCTCGGACTCATCAGCAATTTTCTGTCCAACGACTGCGTCGTCATCCTGGGACTGGCTATACGCGATAATGAAAGTAACGCAAACCGGCCGATAGTTTAATTAATCGATAACGAGTATACGTTGCAACCCATCTGCGCGCTTGAATTAATTAATTAATATCAAGCAGATATATATATGTATATATTTCACAAGAAACGGCAATCACGACGCTTTTATATCGCGCGCGTGTGATTTTATGTATTTAATATTGACAACATGTTGTTTGCTCACTCTCTTATTATGCAAATAATGTATTACACACAAGATAAACGAGAGAAAATTAGTGAAATTTCACGTTTTTAATTAATAAAAATTCATATTATTTCTTTGATTATTTAGCAATAAAATACCTTATTAACTAAAGTATTTTATTGAATATTTCAAGTGCAAATGTTTGTGTGCGTGCAAAAACAAATTATTTTATCTGGTAATTTTATGATGACGTACGTCTTGAAGCCGATTTATAATAAATTAACAACAAAAAATATAAATAATAATAATAATGCAGTGTTTTTAATTGACATAAATACCTTTTACGTTTCTCGGAATAGCTAGAGGAAGATCCGAATAACGTGGCATAGTGGCGGCTTTTGTGGTCTCCGTTGGTTGATTTACAGAAGACGCGTAACCGCTTGTCTTCGACTCGCTTTCGAAACGTCGTGACAAATACCTGCGTTTTTGTTGCTTACATTTTTTTTTAACTCCTCATTAGCACATACGTACATATATATTTTCTCTTTCACGCATTAAATATGATTATTTCTCTCTCAAGGTTAAAGTTTTATTTTGATTTTTTCAGATAAAACTACACTTGAATCTCTGACAAAATCTTACCTGCAATCAGTATCGGAGTACGAAGACCTCGTCATACTCTCGGAAAGTCCCAAGGCTGAGTCAGCTGATCGTTGACTCACTCGCATAGATCGGCGAAACGGGCCTTTGCTCGATCCGTATCGCCTTGTAATAATAAAGTACAAAAAACATATCTGTGTCACAACAATCGTGTACAATTTTTATGAACATACGTTTTTACAGATTGATATTTCGATTTGAAATGTGTTTTGCTTTGCTTCACATTTTTCTATGTTTTTGCTACATTTACAAACTATAATATTTTCTTGATTTTTTTTTTATATGTATAAAATTACCCTGACTGGCGAACGGAATACGATCTGACAAATGCATCTCTGCGTGATCGTCGTTTTTTCGGAGGTTTCGTGCATATGTAGCAACACACTTTCCAGTATAGAAATCTAAAACAAAACATTGACAATAGAAACAATATATGACTTTTTAATAATAATAAAAAACTTACGAACGCTCTCTCCACGAGACAAAAAACACACTTTTGCACGAAAAAAAAAAAAAAAACAATTTCATTTTCCAGAGTACATGACCCGTATTATATTCGATTAAGTATCGTGTTACCTAAAACTCGACGCCATCACATCTCCGATATTCGACAGGCAAAGCAACATAAGTGGAATACCGAGGATGGCGTAAAAAATGGTCACCACTTTTCCATTTTTTGTTTTCGGGGCGATGTGACCGTATCCTATATTAAGAAACAATATCTTTGTTTAAAAACGGAAAATTGTTTAAAACAAAAAAAAAAGAAATGAGAAAAATGCGGTCAAGTTAGGCTTTTGAACACGTAGAAAAATTTGAGGGGATTTGAGTAAGACCTTTGAGGTTTTAGATTGAATTAAATCCACATTTAGGCCAAGAGAGTTGCCAAACATGTGTTTACTTGTACTTAGAAAAGTGTCAATGTCTTTCTCTCTTACAGAAGATTTATGGAAAGTCGATACTTCAAATGTATTGAAATTCTCTGTCGTGTCTAGTTTGTTAAAAAAAAGAAAAAGAAAATTGCTACGCGATGATACGCTCAATAAAAGTGTCTCAACAAAGAGATTCGCGAGGAACATAATGAGAAGCTTGGCTGTGTCGTTTCTTTGAATGAGTCGATCGATAAAAGAAGAGTGCATTCAAAGCCAAGGTTAATCACCATCTTAAAGCCTCGAAATTAGACGAAACGGATCCGCGAGGTCGTTTAGATCTTCAGCCGCGCTTTTGCCTTGAATCTTTTCTTCGGAGCCGCGCGCATAACTTCATCATTTTGTCTACGAATCTGGGTCAAGGTCGCCGACATTCCTTATTTGTAATCATACACAAGATCATCCCTCAATATACATACATGTATACAATTTACATAATATTTCCGTTATTCTCCAACGTGCGCTGCATCTTCTCCTGTTGTTATCGAGAGATTTTTCACATTTTTATTTTACTCCTGAATAAAATAAATATTTTTTTTTTTAATAACATCGAGAACTGATGGATTATACTTCACGCGAAAGAAAAATAACATTGCGAAAAATAATTTTGTGTAAGATATTTTGATATTAGAAAGTCAAGAGAGAAAAGCGTTGTGTTGTGAGGCAACTTATTAAAAAAAAAACAAATTATGAAAAAAGGAGAGATATGTCATTAACTTAAAGTTAAAACAATTACGTAATAAAATGATAATGTAATAAGGTTTAGAATAATGGGTTAAATTCTATTCAAAGTAACTCAATATTATTCGTAGTCCTTGAATTTGAATCATCGAGTAACTTTCGTTATGCAAATTCTGATGCTACATATATTTATTCAAATTGCAGCCGTTCCAAGTATTTTCAAATATTTTTTAATAAAACGTATTTGTAAGAAGAAACGAATGAAGCTTACTTTAGATCCTTCTCATTACAGGATATCCGAGTAACGTGCCATTTTCGCGGAATGGAACAGGATAAAACTCAATCAATTTTATTTTATGACGCAAGGTTTCCCATTGGAGGAAGTTGCCTGTCGCGCCGGGAAACCTAGTCAAAGCGCACCCATAACAAGTCCTTTCCCACTTTATCGAAAGGGTGGATTTATCCGCGGTCTAGAACGGCGCGGCGGGAAAAGAGTCGGGGAAGGAAAACGGAACGCGACGATCCAATTTCATAAATTTGCCCCGAAGAAGCCATTTATTACGGCGATCTCGCCGCGAAATGCGACGACGAAGGCAATTTGGATCGCCCTTAGCGGGGGATTGATTTTACCAAGGATTTTAAGCACGATAAAAGATTTCGTGCCGGAAAACGGCGTTTTTCGCACGCGATATATATACTTTTTGATTATACGAGAGATCACGGGCAACGGGAGAAATATTTTGGAATATCGTTATCCAATTTTAGCTATTCGAAATATAGGTGAGCGGCGGCGCCGTTGTTTATGATAGGCGGTTTCTCCCCGAAAACTGCCACACAAGAAGGATCTTTCTCGCATACGGTATAAATTTCAGGCGCTGCACACTATACATTATGCAAGCGTATGCAATCCGGAACAGGGAAGAAGGCGGAGGCAAAAATGTTTTCTCATAGCGAATACATGAATTTCCCGGGGATTGCAAGATGTCGAAAAGGCATTGCGATCTATTCGTGTTGCGAGATCCCCGCCTTTATTCTTCTCTGTTCCTTTTTTTCCCCTCTTTCCCGAAGCTGTGTAACGCTCTTATTCTGACAGAAGAAGTGGTCGAAAGAAGGAAAAGTGATCGAGAAAGAAAGAGAGAGGGAAGGCAGAAGATGAGAAGTAGGTCGCGCAGGAGGAGCCGATGGCAGGAAATTATTTTAAAAGAAAGAAAATATAAGAAGAGAGGGAAAAAGAGAAAGAGAGAGGAGAGAGATAGAGAGACAGAGTCGTTCACCGCGATCGAGCCCGTTAAAGAAATGAATTTTCGCCGTCATCGGAGGATAAGCGTGTTCGATCGCAAGCGATGACCGAGTCGACCGCGAGAAATTACGATGAGTCTGTGAGACTTCTTATTGACTTCTTAAAACCGAGTCAACCAGTTTATCGTCGCTGAAACTGATTGTTTACAACTGCGAGGCGGAAGTGATCTTCTGAAGAACCAGAAGAAGAAGGCACAGGTCAATGTTCTTTCTGCAAAATGATTTTCTATCTCTGTGTAACAAATTTGTTTTAAACAATCAAATCAGAATGTGCGCGAGTTGCAAATAGAAATCAAACAAAGATCCAAAACTAACAAGCTTAAGAATAAATCACTATTCTTCACAAAGCTTGTTCCTTAATTAATTTTATGTAGACTTTGCCGTAACGAGATTTTCATTAGAAGCTTTATTGTCGAGATACTTAATATCGAAGATTAAAGATCTTCTTTTCTCGTTACAAAGTAGCGATGAAAAACTAACATAAAGAGATCATCAACACAATTTTTTCCAGAGTAAAATGTATACACATACACGCGTGCACACTTCTTCTTTTTACAATTGCACGTGCGCGCGCGGTAAGATAAATGAAATGTAATTCCGCACGTAACACGACACGCGATTATTTTTAACGGCGGGATTATCGCATTAAATGCGCGGGATGGAAGTCGCGGACGGTCAAAGCGCATCTTCCTTCTTTTTTATCGTATTTACGGTACCAGGAAATTACTTAAGAAAAAGAAAAAAATTACGTGCCAGGAAATTAGTTGAAAAGCGCCGCGACGAAGAGTAGGTCCTTTCCGCTCGGTACGCGAATTGAATTTTCGCGGATCCGAGTGACAAGTCTCGTTCCGAAGCGGCGAAGATCCAATCTCATCAAACCGCGCCAAAGGGTTAGGCGCTATTTGATTGGATTCTGTTTCGCGAGCGCTGACTTAAGATAACGTTTTTATTTATACCGAATGCGAAAAATATGCATACCCGTGGCGAATTCTATTCCAACCTCTCTACCTTCTCGTTCTGTAAATAAAATCACGTAAATACAATCTCTCGTTATACTCCTTTAATCTCCTGTTTAACCTCACAACTGATAGATACTCCGGAAATGAATTTCAATGCCGACACACCGGATACGAGAACGTTTCATATATTTGTTCTTGACGCGCTTGTGTTCATTTTTTCGCGTTAAAAAATGCACACAATGTGCACTTGTGCATTTGCGTCGTATATAAGTTCGTTTTAACCGACGGGAACTCATAATATTTTCAGCCAAATTTCTGCTGTCCTTTTTTATTTTTTCATTCATCGATCGCACGTACACATACACACACACACACCCACAACTCCAACACGACTCGTTTCAAATCGAATAGCCGACATAGAGTGTCACTTTTATAGAAAACCATTTTTCTGTATAAAATATATTTCATAAAATGAAACAATAGGAATAGCACACGTACGCGCGCACACATACATACAGTTGTGTAAAAAAATGCTCGGTTCTGGGATATATTAAGTTAAAAACGAAATAAAAAAATACGCGCGCGTATTCCCTTCTGCGGTTTTTGTGTGACATGCGGAGAATTTCTGTTCGAAGATTGGCAGGCAAATGTGGTTTAATGAAGGATGTATTCTTCAAAACTAATAGCCGCACATTTCTAATAGCGGCAATTTCGATGTCGCGGAAAATGCGAGGAATTAACATTGCGCCATGTGTGTCTTAATATTGTTTTATAAAAAAGGAGGTCAAAGAGCTCGCGCGCACTCGCGGCTTCCCTTCTTCGGGTTTTTCCCAAGTCGAAGGACGTTACGATCGCTTCGTAAGAGCGGAACCGGTCTCTCAAAATCCGATCTGATCACCACCCACGCGCTATTACATACCCGTACCGCGTAATATAACGTTGCGCGCTTGTAAATCGACAGACGCCGAATGTAATTTGCTCGGCCCGCGCGCGATACCAAACGAGATACTGACCGCTCGGTTATTAATGATGAAACATTACTTCATACAATTTCGTCGGCTGTAATTACAGCAATAATAGATACTTGTTATCCTCTATACGAAAATATTCGATAATCAACCACGCATCGCTAATTGCTCAACGTTTCATTTGACATGAAAATATTGATGGATTTTAATTATCGTTAAAATCTTGGAAGCTCTTTAAATAATATGTGGAATTGTGTTTGCGCCATCACGGGAGAAGTTTTATCGAGGCGGACTTGCTCCTCTCACACGCTGTAAAGCAGGATGCTTCTACTGTTGCGTCATAAAGTCAAGCAAACGCTCGTAGCAACGGAAGATTGAAGTACGAGCGTTCCTTCAACGAGGGAACATGACGTTCTTTCTTTTATTTTTTTTTTTTTTTTTTCCTATAAAACATACACACATCTCGTGTATTTAAAAGAAAAAAGTCGAGATTGTTGAAAACTTAATCTCTCGGCAGAGATCTCGCGATTGAAAGGGAAGAAGTTTTTCGCTTCAACGTGAAATATACGCACGTGAAATATAACAATTATCTCGCGTTGTAGTCGAATTTTTTTGCTTTCCTTGTGGAAACAAAGGATACACACGAGTCGAGTGCTGGAGAGAACGATCCATTGATGATTATCGTCCAAAAAGACCTCGAAATGTAGCTGTGCGTTCACCTTCCCGCGATGCATATATAAACGCGCGATTCACTTTCACTCTCATTTAGTCGTTACTTCGAGTACCGTGCCCGTGTGTCTTTCCCTTTTTGTTGACCACGGTGATCGAGAGACGAGTTTCTCGATTCTGTTTACTCTTTACGTAACGAGCAATGCGACCAGGTGCTCTCTTGACTTTTGTCGTCGCGGTTGCGACGGCGACCGCCGAAAACGACTCCTGGACCTGGGACGACAACAAGCAAAAGGCGAGCCCGCGATCCGACAGTAGGTGTGTGCTATCACATCGTGTGTACGATTTATCGTAAAGAGGGTTTTTTTCAAATCTAAGTCACAAGGGCGAGTATAAAGGGATTATTTACACAACTTTTCTTTTAGTATCACATACATATATAACGCACAATATTAGTTTGTTTTAAAGTTATATAAAAAAATATAGGGTTTTAAAGTTATATAAAAAAATATAGTTTCTTGTGTAAAAAAAAAACAAAGTTTGAATTGTGAATTTAAGTAAAATAATTTAACGACACAATACGCGTTATTAAATTCACCGGGTAATAAAGGAGTTGTTTCTGTATACGTGATTGAAATCAAGCATCGTTATAGATTTTCGAATTTTACATGCAATTCAAATTATAACGTGTATTAATTTACATTTGAAAATACTTCGCATATATACAACAAGCGCTCGACTCTCATTAGCCGGACCATTTCTTTTAGAGTTGAATACCAAAAGAGCCATGTACGACATCTACAATTTGCATGATTGCGTTATCGCATACTAATTAGTAAATTGCTTATCTAATTATGCGTGTGTAATTTCGAGAGAGTAGAAAATTTATTTGAGACGTCGGGAACTTGATTTTTTTATTTTTTTATTTTTGTTTTTTTTTTTTTTTTTTATCATGAGTTTACTCATTTATTAAACTTGTTCCTACGTTTCAGCGACGAAGTAAGACATATGATACTTCGCGACGTAGTTTCTCACGTGCTCGACTTTTAGGTATCAGGTGTACGAGCCATCCGATTTGGAAAGTTCTGATAACAACGGCTTCAGACCTCAATACCCGGGTTCTTACGGGCCTAATGGCTACAGGCCGTTCAGACCGTCGTATCCAGGCGGTAACGGTATTCTCGTCGGACCCGGTGGACCGAGCGGAATAATCGGCAGGTAATGCACTGCGCGTTCCCGGTATAATCACGCTCCGTATCTCTTTTCAAAACTATTACCGAATATTTTATACCGCGTAATTGTTAACTCAATTTGATTAATCGGCTTGCCGGAGTCTCTCTCGCTGAGACGGTTTAAAAAAATCGCGAGATCCGCGACGCGATTGTTTAATCCCACGTTTATACAGTTGATATATATCATCAGCGAGATTGCGCTAAATTGTTTTTTTTTTTTTTTTTTTTTTTTTTAACGGATTTATTTATCTCGGAAAAGTGAGAGATTTTCCGTCGACCGGAACCTCGATCTCCCTCACGCGACTATCGCTTTATAATAAACCATCCAATTATCCGATTAAAATAAATAGCGAGCGTCGTCTCTTTACACGGAAGCGCGGCCGCTTAAATTTATAGATGTCCCGCACATTTAATTGTGTGCAAGGCGCGGCGCTCGTAACAATATTTTACGAGAAATGGCTCATTCCCGGGTTGCCGGCTTATCAGCGCGCAACGTATATATTTTTCATAAACGCGCTCGAACTCAGTACGCCCTCTCGTTTTCACATCTACATCAACTTCCGCAGCTAAATTATTTCTCACCACGTCCCGTGTGTGTGTGTGTGTGTATATGTACGTTGACGTTTCAGACCACCTCGTTTCGAGCAGAATGGACACGACGGCATTCTGAATTCTGTACCGCCGTGGATCAGAGATGATCCCCGTTATCGCGAGTTTGACACTTGCAAGTGCAGATACAGCTTCAATTGTCCGTCGCCCGGTCTGAAATTCGTGAGTTTGACCGAAGTGCGTCTCAGCAAAGTACTCGGTGCACTTAAATGAATCTTGGAATGTTATTGCAGGGCCAGTGCTCGAGAGACAAGAAATACTGTTGCTTCAACAGCAGAAGATTCCCGGAATTGCTGGGAGAACATTATTATCCCGTAAAGAAAACGATTTAAATCTATTTAAATATTTATGCACTTGAAAAACTCTTAATATAAATAATTAAAGTACTACTTGTATAACGTATAACAGAACAAAAAATTTTCTCTTTCCTTTCTCTCTTGCGAAGATATCTTCTCGAACAGAAAGAAACGATTGTCGTTCAGCAAATTATTTTGTCGCTTTGTGAGAATCCATCGACAAGCAACTTAGTTTTTTACAATAGAGTTTTTTTTTATAACTTGCAATCTTACTGTGGAGTATTCTCCATTAAATTAACTTGCTTTGTAATCCCACCGTACAATTCGCAGAGTACGCCGCACAAGTTCGAGCCGAACGGTTACGCGCCGAATTATTACGGCAATCGAAGACCGCAAGGCGTCCACCAACATTCGTCTTTCGGTGATTATTACCCGGATTCCTACGGCGGTTATGGTCACCGTAATGAGTTCGAGTCGTTACGGCCATATGGCTATGATTCGGAACCCGAGGATTACGTGATTTACGGCCGGTCATTGAGCAAGAATCAAACGCAGACGAACGACGGGAAGCCGAAAACGAACGAAGGGATCGAAAAGCAGTAATTAAACGGGATCTCATCTTAATTGAAAATTATCTTAATGTTATTTTGTAATGAAAACAATGCCAAAGATGTGACAGAAATGTATGTATATGTTTTTATCATTGTACAGCACGATATGTGCGCATCTTTTCGCGTTGGCGATTAATTTAAATGAGACGACACGATGTTTAATTTGTTGTTAACATACTAATAAAATTTTCTACGTTTCTGTCTTTTATGTTTATTAATAACCTCATGTTTTTATATACCATGATCTCGTCGGCGCGCTTTGAACATTGGCTTACCGATCGTCGTGATGACGATGATGGAATAGAACAGAGCGCCGGCGAATGTCCACTGAATAGTATTCTCTTCCTCGCTCCCGTCCCATCCCTCTTTCGTCATCTTTTTTCTGAGACTGTCCTCGAATTCCTGTAAACAAAACGCGCTTCTTCATGTTTGCAAACTGATAGTTAATTCTCCGGAGACATCGAGTTTCAAAATCGAAGAACCATAAGGTTTTTCCGCGTGCTGTTTATTGAAAGTAGAATCCGACGGAATAAAAACGCAAATCGCACACCTTCAGCTCGCTCAGCGCTTTCTCCGTCCAATCCTCCCGAATCAACACGTCGAAATCCTTTGTGATTTCCCATAGCTTCTCCGAGACGTTCCCTCGTACATCCTTGATGCTCTTTTTCACCTGCGAAGAAGAGCGCGGGTGAAGAACCGATTGTACTTACTCGGCGTCGCGCCGCTCCTCGGTTCTCGACGCTCAGCGTCAGTCAATAATTCATTGACACGGGCGCGGAATATTCGATGTGGAATAAACTATTTGTCCCCGCGTACTCCACCATCTTTTTGCGGTCGTTGTTTGAATTAATTCTCGTCCCCCCGTAAATTCCGATTCGCGATGTGGAATTAGATACGTGACAGAAGTTTATTTATTATTCCATCAGCTAAATTACGTTAACTCTTTGCAGTCCTACGTCAAGTCCGACTCAACATTAATTAAAATTAATTCGGACCAGACTATTTATTTGAGAATGAGAAGAACAATTTGAACTGTGTGCAGAGGATTAATATGTGCATCTCGTTATATGTAAAATTATAATAAAAATCGAGATTATCGTCATGTGAGAGTGTTTCTGACAACGAGCGGTCAGAGAATGTGCCTCCATCAAATCGTTCTGCGTAAATAATTCGATTAACCAGCTAATAAAATCAAAATGTTATTTGATAGAGAAGATTCGTTTCGAAAACCTATCACCTCGAATCATTTCATAGACGAACCGCGTTTCCGATCATGCTATCGAGACTCACTAAGTGATACTTTATCGCGACGAAGCTATACGAAGTCAACAAGTTTTGTAGATTGCTGACTTACTCGCAGATTATACGCAGTAGACGCGTAATCCAAAGAGATAAATTTTTCTTTTAATGAATGCAAAAAAATATAAATAACAAAAATAATTATATAGCTTCAGACTTAGAGTGTAATAAAGGACCTACAATTTTAGATGGACTCCGAACCATCAAAAGTGCGCGTAAACACTTCAAATTTAGAGAAATCTCGTGACAAAGATACATTCTCAGCGAGCTATCAGATCATGAGAGCCGTAAAAATCCGAACACAGTTTTGTCCGGATTCGAATCTGGGATCTCTTGGGGTTTTGGTTCCGCACAGACCAACTGAGCTACAAGCTGATATATTCGATATTCACAATGAAGTAGAAAATGTTACTACGTCGCAGAAAGTTTTAACAAGTCGAAATATAATACGAAGCAATGCACAATGAGAATGATCGTACGAGGATAAACGTGAGGATAATTTGATACTACATAAAAAAAGTAAAATCAATAAATAAAAAATAATTTTTTTTTTAAATCTTGTCGCGCATTTTGACGAAGTTTCGTTCTTTAATAAGGAAAAAAACTTCAAATTTAAGCAAGTTCGATAGTTGTTGTTGCATTGTGTAACTGTGTGCTGGATAAGATTGAAAATTCAGATGGGGATTTGCAATTTACCTCTCTCTCGTGATTCGCCTCCAGTGACTCGAAGGCGTACGCGCCGATTACACAATAAGCAACCACCATAGAGATCAGCATCACGTGAGAGAAGACGCATCTGCTGAATTTCCACAGCAGCCGTAAGAACCTGATGCATCTCGACGGTTTCTCCACTTCGATCGGGTCGAACATCTCGGTTCGCAAGCGTGGCATTTTCTACTTCCTCCCTCCTTTCAAGAAGATCGCGGGTATTCTCTTATTAGATTCTCCATTTACATAGCGAGTACTGCGCGAAGCCCCTCGTCAATTAGCTTTAATTGCTAATAATTAGATTCCAGCTGATCTTCTGCATTAAATTTGTTGATCTAGTTCTCTCTCTCTCTCTCTCTCTCTCTCTCTCTCTTTCTCTCTCTTTTAAATTCAATATTGCATTTTGAATAGTGTTTTTCTTTTTAATTTGAAAAAAAAATTTTAGAGCAGTAAAATATTTCTGTTTAAAAAAAATTGCAAAGATCAAATTCGGGAAAGTGGAATTTATATATCTATCAAACACATGTATGTGAAGCTAATACTGCATCGATTTCAACTCTTGAAAAAGAAGAAATAGAGTGAGAGATAAACAGACACTACAAATTAAAAATTTAAAAATTTAAAAATTTAAATTAAAACACTTTTACTACAAATTTAAAAGCCTATTAAATAATATTTCTCCTATTGAATTTCTGCGCAACGTAATATCAGACCGTCATACCAAACATGAATAATCACACGCACGTGTTGCAATAACGAATCGCTGTTACAAACAATTCTGTGAAAAATATGACTTTTGCCACATATCTGTGTTTTTTTTTAATGTGCAAACAGAAGAGTTTCCCATCGCTAATAGTTTTAAACTTTCGTGTATTTTATTTGCATTCTGAGGTGAGCATTAAAATTAAATTGAAAACATCGTCGTTGTTGTTTTCGTCAAGTTTTTTTTTTTTATAATCGCAATTAAATGCAATAATTTCGTTTATTCCATGTCGAGCGTATTTTAGCGGAGTATCAAAACCGTGTAGAATTTATAACGCTGAATCGATACCATTATTTTCTAAAGAGAAAGTAATTATATCATTTTGCACAGGTATTATATTAATTATATTATACATGCGCGCGCGAGTATTTTGAATAATTATTTCACGACACAAAGTTCGTGTATCGGTAATGAGAAACTATCGACTGGCGTGAATTTCTGAATAAAGTGCGATTTGCAGATAAATTGCAACAAAATACGATCCACTTGTCGTTACAAAATCCGGACCTATTCTATCGCTGATCGAGCGAAACCTCTTTCTTATCTCGCATTGACAAACGAGCGTGTACACTTCAATCTACGTATGTCGTCGTTCAATATAACTGAAACGAGCACTCAGACGTCTTAATGAGATATGTTTTCTTCAATGTCTATTCATTTTGACTGTTGTCGACATCGACAATCGATAGCGACTCAATAGCAAGCAATTTTTGTTTGTCGTACACGTATTCTAATTCGTTTGTCAACAACGATCATTCGCTCGCGCGATCTCATTTTATTGATAACTTCATTACGGTCGCGTTGTAATTATAAATTGCCCGCTAGTGAAAAAATGATTACTTTTTCAATACGTGAAAATACTAAATAATATTTGCAAAAGTATACAAATGCCACGCACCAACACGCGATGTCTATTTAAAGCGGCACGTGTTCAAGTGAAGCTGCTGTTACCGATAACTGTATACACACACACGCACACACACACACACACAGTTAATTTCATAAGATCAAAGAAGATTTACTCTCGAACTCGGAACGTCGTTCGGATTCTTCAGCATCCCGAAGGATCCTTTAGCGTCGCGTAAATTTCACGTTTACTCGCAAACACCCGAACGCAACTTCGGAAACTCTCCATAACGACACGCTCATGATTCCCGCATGTTTCTCAGCACGAAACTAAGGCGTAGAGAAACGTCGAGCGTAGCTGAGTTACATCCGCGAGGCGGTTGTTCCAAATTTATCCCAGCGTCAAAATCTTGTTCAGAAAGCAACGCCGAGCAGAGAAATTCGCATTCGTCGCGGCATCGATATATATCTTCTGCAAATCTAATTTGCAAGCATACGGGAAATAAATAATGCAATAGCGTAAATTGACTTGTCATAAATGTAACACAAAAATTTCAAGTTTTTTTTTAACGGTCTTAGTCGAACTTAAATATTATAAACAGTCGCACAAGAGGAAATATAAAAGTAGAAAAAATAGAAATAAATTTTCATCATCATTTTTTTTTTTTTTTTCGCTCTTGTGTCTCTTTCCCTCTATAAATTCATTATATTCTCGGAACTCAATTTTTCTCAACGCCACGTAAAAAGCTGGCTGAGCTATTCTATTCCGTTTAACTTTTCTGTTGATACATCAGCATGTGTAGCGTATACAAATTTTTTTTACTCGTGCGCTTCATTCACCGAGATACATTCTTGTATACATTATTTACGACACGCTTATGTACTTAAATGTAAATTTGTATGCACCGGGCTTTGCTCGGCAGTGAATAATACGGGTAACGAGATCTCGCTGGATGCGATGGACCATTTTCAAACTCCCGATCCTTCGCAAACGGGATTACATTGCATCAGTATGCTATACATGAATTAGCTTTGTGCCGTTGTAAAGAAGTTTTAAATGCGAGTCACGGAAAATTAACTTTTATATGTTTATCATAGGATCTGCTTGCAACTAATTATTTTATTGAATCACTTAAGTGTGTATAAAACTTAAACTCCAAGAATTTTAATGCTTTTATTAACATATTATATTTCTTGTAGTATTTATCTACTGTATTATTTACATACTGTATTATTTATTTGATCTTTTCAAGAAATATTCTTTGCATTTAAAAATTGCGGATTTTGTTGTATATGAAAATACTTCCGGGATCTCTTTGTCTATGGAAACAAATTTCTATAAATAATATACAATATCGCACTTACGCGGGGTCAAGGGAAAGGGGGGGGGATAAAGGAGGGCGATAGGCGCCGTGACGAATATATGTCCGGCGTCAGTAATTATCGCGACGGCGTGTATTAATTGGACCGTGCGGAGGTTACATGAATAAACATGAGGCAGTCGATCATGTAAATTCGCTCATGGCAACGGTCCGGACAGAGTATCACCAGAAGAGAAGCGCCGCGGCGCGCCAACAACGGAAAGATGCTTTTATTTTTAGTGGCGGTTTATTTGCAGAGAGAGAATCACGAAATATATATTGATGCGAGAGATACTCGTAAAACACTATCGCAGGAGTTTTCAATGTTTTCCCAACATGTTTGTCTATATTCTGTAAAAAAATCTTTCCATTCTCATTCGTTTTTTATTTTTCGGAAAGATTTCTGTAAAAGAATTATCGCAGAAAGTCAAATCAACACTAAAATTTTTATATTGCAAAATATAAACTAATAATGAGAGCTTGCACCTACTTTGAAAATTTTTACTAAAAAAAATTTAACATTTGAACAGAAAAATTTAAGGTTCAGCAGTACAAAACCTTGTGTGCAAAGAAAGCAAAAATATTTACAACTTTTGCAATTTACACACATCTCACAAAAAAAAATATTTTTTTTGATAGTCTATTGACGTTTGCTTTTGGACAAAGTTTAGAGAGAATGTAAAGCAAAACTTTTGCATTGAAGTAGATTTTTGTCTATACAGTAAAAAATTGATTAATTATAAAAAAAACTGTATATCTTCAGAAGGCTACTTATCGATTATCTCGTGTCATCTGGTTTATCGGTGTCTCCGCACTTTTCTACTTGAAAGACTTAATCGACACTGCCATATTGTCAGTCGGCAAAGTTATGTTTCTACCGCATCAATAAAAAAAATGAAAATTTTGAAATATTTTTCGTCAGCGTATGACAAATATTAAAGTAAAAAACGGCCTTACAAATTAAAATCAGTATAAACTTATTGAAAAATATCGTCGTCATCCGTAGAATATCGGCGTAATTGATCCGTTTATAATGATTTTAATATTTTTCTTATTTTCGTGGAACTTTCATCAACTTTTTAAACAAAACTAATCTAACAAGCTACTTATTTCACATTGTATACTTTTGTTTAAAAATCCTAATTTCTGTTTTCTTGTTTGAGATGTTTTATTTATTTACATGGTAGGGCAATAATTTATTCATTGCTCTTTAAACTAACTAACAGATTAATCTTGTATACATTTAAGTCTCTGTTATCTCACTTCTAAAAATGATCGAAAATATGAAAGTTTAAGTAAATAAACGGACATCGGCGGACAGTGAGGAATTGTCGGCACTGCGTTTCTCTCTTCGGCGTCGTATATGTCACCCGAGAGAAGCGCAACGCGTAGTTGACGGGTGCGCGCTTATATTGCAATCGCCATCGATTATCCCGACGTATGTCGGGCGACGATGCGCGCGCGAGCTCATCACACTGATAATACCCGACAATTTGGACACGCGCCCGATAAATCAACAGACGTTCCGAATGACACTAACGGCATTCGCACCGAGGATCACGCGACACGTCCCAGAACTATGTACATTATTGGCATTGCGATAAGCAGTGCTCAGCTCACGTAATAGGTGGATCTTCGTGTGTCAAATGTTATACCCGACCGCAAAAAATTTCCAAAGTTTTGCTATCTTTCATATCAATTTTAATCGCGTTACTTGTAATTATGAAAAAAGGGAGCAATTTAATGTTGAAATGTTAATATATGCTTTTTATAATTAAAATACACATTGTTCAGTTTCTAAAATTAAGCTGTATAAGATCTTTGACTCTTCGAACTGTTAGTAATGATTGTTCTAATATATTCTAGTATTAATCACAACCGTGAATTAAGAAAAATCTTGATTGCAATAATTGAATCATTTCATAGGATGCTTAGGAGAAAAATATATACATGTTTGTATTTTCCTTGTGTGTAGTCATTTATTACTTTCAGAGGTCAGAGATATGTACAAAAGATCGTTACAGCAAACGAACGAGTCTTTCTGTTCCGCAAAACAGTGTATAGATGTTGGTCACACAAGAAATTCAGTCTGTTTTTCTCATTGACCAAATCTGAAGAATGGCTTTATCTTTTTTCAAATCAGCTTGGGTGGCGCTGATTTTTTACAATTTTATTTTTAAACGCTACGAGCACACGTATATTAGATACTTGTATTATCACATGATAATATTGTGTCTATTCTTACGATATTTTTTTTACATAAGCACGAAAAGAACATAATTTTATTGCATGAAAGGGAGCAATAGTAAAAAGGAACGCTTTTTAAATTATCTATTAAAATGCGTGTCAATTAAGAGATAATTGATAATCGAGTAACCTCCCCTTTCATCTGTGTAGGCGTTTCAGCCTGAAAAATAACGCTCTAAAGAACACAATATAATTTTATCTTCACGTATATACCGACGACGTCATGCATATCGACTCTTGCGACTCTTACGGACTCTTATCTAACACAATGGTCCCCTTTATATTGATATGGTGCAACGTGAATCGCCCTCTTGCTTTTACGAGCAACGCTTTTACGTCGGGTCGTAAAACGCAATCAATTTTCATCGCGCAGAAAGCGATCGAGGTTCACCATAAAGGAAGGAAGAGATCTTCCAAAATCTCGAAACGGTTTGATAAAAGTTAATAAAACAAAAACAAAAACAAAAACGTTTGAAAAGAAAAACATTTTGTTACGCATAAATTAAGTACTGGTTCACACGAAATGTTTTGTAACGCGCGTTTACAAATGCGCGTTACAAAACGTCTAGTAATGACCATCGGATTGCCTGTTGGCGTACACACGCAAACGCGCATTTTTTTTTTTTTTTTTCACAAAACGCGCGCTTAACGCAGCGTTAGATGCCTCGTGTGAACCAAGTTTAAATTATGACGTTTTTTTCAATATTCTGTCGTTGATATGTGCATTGAAATAAACATTAGAATCTGTTTGGAAACATTTTCTCTCTTAAATAATGAAAAATATAAGATATTTGAGATATTAAAAAAAAAACACGACATATAGTTTATACAGAAGTACACAAATGTATTCCCATTTGTCTCATCCTTTTTTTACACTTATCGCATATGATAAATTCAACTTCCGGTTTCCGTTCCGAAAATCTACAGACCGCTTCGTGATTACGGAAGAATGATTAAAAAGTATAGTCTTAATTAATACCAGTATTTATATCTCACAGCGTTTCAGTCGGAACGGTCATTCCACTTGAATCATCACATTTTCGAAAAAAATGGTTGTCAATAATCATATAGAAAAGAAAAAAAGAAGATTGATTAAGTCTAATTATATAATCATATGTAAATGTATATTTTTTACATAAGAGAAACAGGCTTAACGTAAATAACTCATTGTTTTAATAGAATTTTTTCATAAAAGTTTTTATATTCTCTGTTTTCACATTTAATTTCGTTTTTCTTCTGTTTCTTACTTCATACGTTTTTTTGATATGCAACACTTCTTATGTAACTTTTTTTTTATTAAAAGTTTGAAAGCTTTTTATTAAAATTTGAATATTATTTTAATTTGTATTAAAATTTTACTTGAGATTATCAATTTTTTGTTATATTTATAAATGATATTTCCAACAATATGTGTTTGTCAATCCGTTATACTTCATCGCCGTGCTATTACTATGGCTATGTCGATCGATCGCGGACTCTGTATTCAGTTATATTGAGCATGTGTGAGAGACTAAAGAAATATAAATTATTTACAGAACAAGAAATGAAGAAGAAAGGAATACTGCAAGTTTTTCTCTCGCGAACGATAAATCTATTTGCTTGCGATCGGTTTGAATCGACGAACATCATTGCCCCCCTTCCCCCTCGTCTCTCGGCTAATTGTCGATACAAATTGAACCGCAATTACAGTCGAAGAGACAACTCATTTCGCGCGGATTTAACGAGCACCCGAAAACTACTGTATTAATAGGACTCACATAAATCGAGCGTAATGATTTTCCGTGTAAATTGCTCTCGTGACTACGGATTTGCCCGGATACATAATATCCGGAAAACTTATATTAAACCTCGATAAAGAGTATAATCGTAAAAAGGAAGATTCGATCTGGCGATATGTTTTGCACGTCCCATTTTGCTTAAAAATAAAGACCGTTCGATACACACGGAAACTAATCTCCTCCATTTGCGTATTTCAAGATACAAATGGCGCGCTTTTTATCGAACGATAATCTTCAAGAGAAATAAAGACAAAACGTATATCCTCTTTACAAATGATCCGAACGCGATATTATGCTGTCACTAGAAATGAATCCATTTTACCGGTTACACCTAGCTCGATTACCTTCTCGATTAAATCTCCGAGCAAGTTCCCCATTGGCAATTACCTCCCGCTGATAGATACACCGTGTCCCGTCTCACGTGCACATTCCCTTTTTTGTCTTTACCGCGCGCGAAGACCGATCAAACCCTTCCCCTCCCCCGTGAGGGGGCAAAAACGAGTAAAGGAAAAGGAGACGAGATCGATCTTGCGGGACGCTATCTCCGGTCGAAGAAGCCGAGCGTCTTGAGGGTGTCAGTGACCCGCCTGATCAGTTTGTCTCTGTACCGCCATATCGTCGTGTCCACCACGCTGTTCTCGCGGTATTCCACGCAGGTCTTCTTCAGCGAGCGAACGCAGTCGGCGCGATAGTGTTGCAGCTGCGCGTCTTCGGTATCAATGGGGTAGCTGGTGCACCCGGCGCCCAGACACGCAAGTGGAAAGTGATTGTGCAGAGTAACCACCCGTTCCGGATTGTGGAAGCACTTGATGTACTGGTTCGGCTTCGTGAAGTTCTTCGAGCGATACACGTGTTGCAGCATGTGCATATATCTGCGAGAAGAATTTTCGAATGCATTTTTTGCGGTCTCAACTGTCCTTGATTTTATAACCAAGTATCGCGAAATATCATTTACATTGTTCCATTAAAGTAAAAACTACAATTAAAAGCAATTTTTTTTACACATTGACTAAATTATTATAATAGATATATGATATAATTATATAGAATACGATATCGTATATAATTGTAATATGATATTAATTATAAAATTATATAATTACAATATGATAATATAAAATTATATAATTTTGTTAATACGAAATAGGTATATTTTTCATACAACATTTAAACGCACAAACCCATTGTTGTTGTCAAACAAGTACGTTACGTCTTCTCAGTCTCACGATTTTATATATAATTACATAAGTTATCACCGCAAAATGGTTGAAAATGAGCAACATTAAAGATTGTAACGATCTAAGAATCATTCTCTTAAGATATAAAACAAGAAATTGCAGAGTTACAAAACCCGTTAAGAAAACTTTAAAACTGTAAAACGTAAGAATTATTGCACACGCAACATACTATTTTTGTCCCGAAGGTTAAACATAACGTCTATCAAACTTCCCATTATTCCGTCGCGGTTGCAATTTTTGCGTTAATTCGTCTGAAGAGAACCGTGACACCGATAGTCGTTGGTGTACTTTGCGCTGGCCATCCACCTTCGCGGCGCTCCCTTCACGGACGGTCGATTAACGGATGGCCGATCCGCGCGGCGCGGCGTGAAAGTAGAAATCTTACTCACTTAGGTATGTCCTTGAAGTAACCGTGAGAGTGCAGTAGGTCGTCGAGGAAGTAGACATTCCTGACGTTGTACGAGGCGCGAGTCTCGTTCCTTATCTGCAACGCCTTGGGCAGCACCCGGCGCATCAGCTCCTGCCAGGTCGCGTCCTTCACGGGCATGATCACCTCGTCGACATCCAGCAGAGCGATGTACTCGTACTCGTACATGTGCTTGTACAGGCAGTCGTTATAGGGTATCAGCTCGTTCTGCCGCTTGTGGTTGGTCTTCTTTGTTAGGTACATGTGCTGGAAGGCAGGCACGTTCGGCTGCCCGCCCGGCAGCGTCAGCGGGGTCACGTGCACCATACCCAGACGCTGATAATGCTGCAGCACCTTGGTCACGTTCGGGTGCACCTGTAGCTCGTAGAAATAGATCTTGTCGGCGCCGAGCAGGCTGATCAGCTCAATCCACTCGACCAGTCGTACCGACAAGTCCTCGTGCAGGAAGTCCAAGCCCTTCACACACACCGCGAAGTCTTTTTTGCGCTCGGGCTTGTTGTAGATCACTCGCAGGTGGTTGGTGGCGGTGTCGCAGCGTTTTTCCACCAGCGAAACTGACGACGGCGGTTTGCCGAGCGGCGGCACTCTGCACGCTATCACGTAGGGCTGATAAATGCCCTGCTTGTAATTGCCCCACTTCGGATACCAGATATACTTGTACTCGAGCGTCTCAACGATCCTGGGCTCGTTCTCGCTGTCGTACCACAGCTGACAGTACGTCTTCACGGTTGGCTCAATTCGATCGATCATCCCGACGATTCTCACCGCCGGACCGATCTTCGACAGCTTCCGATTGTCGTAGAACGCGCCAAAAAACTGAAACGTGCCGTTGCTGGTGCGTAACGTTTGCCAGTAGAAATTGTTGAACTCCAGCTCGTAGATCTGCGGATACTTTGCGCAGCTGTCGTTGCCGCGCTTCGTCAGCTTGCTGTTTCGCGACCAGTCGCTTAACGGCAAACTCGGCATTCTCTCGACGATCTCCTCGATCAGCTGCTGCTCCGTCTTAGCCGGTCGTTTGTCCAGCAGTGGCTCCAGCTCGAGCGGATTCCTAGTCGTCTCCAGACGATTTCTCAGAGTGGTCAGAGTGGTGAGAAAGGCGCCGTTGCCGCCGGTGTTGGACAGATCACCTAGCGACGACCTCTGCAAAAGATACCGAGACAGACCCAGATTACCTGACGAGCCGTGACCTCGCTCAATCTCCAGATTGCCGACGGCGTCCTCGGCTGTGGGACCGCCGTGCAGCGTTCTGTTCTCCAGGTGACGGAACTGCACGGCCGCGATCATCAGCAGGCCCCAGACGAAGACGAAGAGGAAGGCGCGTTTCGCGCATCTTGACGACTTGCCGCCGCAGTTCTGCATTGTTCGCCAGTTCCCGCTAGCTAATCTCCGCGTGTTTCTCCGTTCAACCGCGTTTTCCTCTTCGATCTAAGGACCGAATCTGCAACAGAGAAAATCGTCGTCTACGAGATGTCGATTGGACAATCGAGTGGCACCACGACAGCAGAGAAATGATTGCGATTCTCAAATCTTGATTATCTCGTGAAAAATTGTATCCGTTTGAGCTAAACATATCTGTCTTGATTTAACATCTCAGTCTTATAAGCTAATAAATATATGTAGAAATCCCGTTCTCTCTCTTCTAGTCGTCGAACAACGGGTTTTTCGGTCACGGTGTTGAGAAATCATTATTTTTGAGAGATAGTATAACGGAACGAAATACAATTTATATCTTCGGAATGCGTGAGAGACGAAAGTTGCAAAACAATTTGCAATATAATCGTCAACGGAATTCAGAACAGAAGACAAGATAATGTCCTTAACTGTATAAGGACACTCGCCACCGGTAGCTAGTACACTCGACTATCATCAGGAAAGCGAGCGATCCTGTCGGGCAAAACCCCGTTGGCCGGATCGAACAAGCTTCAGGAGAGGAAGAGAGAGAGAGAGGAAGAGCGTGCCCGGGCTCGGGTATACGCGTGGAACCGGTTATGCTGATGGCAAAACTGTTTTTCACCTTTTGCACCTCGCTTCATCTAACCTTCTCCCTTCCTGACCACCTCGGGCCTTCTGCGCGGCGATGTTCCACCTCATCTCTAGTTCCTCCGACCCTCCCCTCTCGCGGGACTTAGATTCTCAGGATCAGACTCTCTATCGCGACCGAAGAGCCTTTTCCACGAAGGTTGTGTCGCTATCGTAAGAGATGTGTGTTCCATTCATTCAGATTTGTAACATCTTTAAAATTCCTCACGATAGAACAGAAAAGATATCTGTTTTTGTCAAAAAAAATTATTAATTATTTATTATATTTATTTATTTGAAATAGCACGTTATCTCTAAAAATTTTCTAAATTCTTATCTCGATATTTTTATTCGAGAACCATTTTGTGACGGTATAATACAAAGATGTGGACACGATGATTGATTACGCTCTAGATTATTAATAACTATCAATTAATAAGAAGAGAGAGTTTTTTTGTTGAGCCTTACACGCGGCTCTTACAACATATCTAATTACAGTACTTGGGAACATGGTTATTAATCCTTTCGAATTTTCGTAACTCAAGGATATTGCTCTACTAGAAGCGGGATGAGAAGATACGTTCTTGAAGATAAGGACGTCTCGATGAGACACATCGTTTCTTCATACGACGCATAACATCGCGGTGTTGTCACGATCGTAATTGCGCGATTAGACGAAGGTGATTCCGTCGCGATGTCCAATCTACAGATTTATACGCTTTCTTCCCAGTAGGAAATATCTCCTCGCGCGAATCCCGTTTTCTCAAAACCAAGCGAGTCGCTTGTTTGTTCGTGAGGTCGCTAATTAATATGGATTTATCTAATTCTGTCATCACTGCGCTTGGACTACGCGATAAACCGACCAGGTCGCGGCTAAATGTAATTGCGCGTACGAAAGTGCAACTCGCGTACATGAGCGCGCGCGATGCCACCTCGTTCCTGTTTAATTCAAACTCCGTTCTTATCGTCTCTCCGAACGGAATTAGCAATCTCACGCAACATTAACGGATCGGAACGCAAATTGCACGGAACAAATGCATTCGTATCGACGCAATAAACCGACTCTCGGGCTTCTCTCTTTGCACCGAATCTATTTTTGTACCTTAATTATGAGACGAAAAAGAATCTCTTCAAGATTATTTTTCACTTACAAGCGTCTCTTTTGAAAAACAATACAAAGTGCTGCACACGCAATATTATCTCTCGTATAGCAAGTTATCTGAAAAGTATACACGACCGGCAACCGTAGGCAAAATGACTTAATATCAGGCTCCCGGCCTAACGAGACGAGAACTTATAACCGGGAGGGAAGGCAGAGACACACGCACCTCAAACTAGTTTAACATTTATTTATACAATCAACGCTGACACCGAGATCGAGAATTTACGACGCTCGCGTTTTATTGCTGATTAAGTAAAAGGAGGTTAATAACAAGCCGAAAACGTGGCTACGCAAGACTCCGGCTTGCTTCTCCCCTGGAGCCACGCCACGTGTTTGCTTCACATCACTTTGCGGAAAAGTTAAACAAATGTCACTCATCTCCCCAGGCAAGTAAATGAAAATTACTCGAGCCAGTTTCTCATCTCGATAATATACTTAATTTGTTTTACTCTCCGACATTGCTCGTTTTTTTTTTTTTTAAAGATACGACATAAAATCTAAAGAAGTTTTTGAGATAAAAGCAAGAATGTCAATATTAATTAAATGTGAAATACTTTTTTATCTGAAAAAAATCTAGAAATGTATATATATGTATACTCTCTATCTAGAAATATATATGTATACTCCCTATCTAGAAATATATATATATATATGTATACTTTCCCATAAAAACACCGCAAACAAAAAAAGATAGTAGCTATACAATTTGCGCGGTATATGATCTTTTGATCGCTTTAATTATTTTTACAAATATTCCTAAATCTTTTTTGTTTTATTGCTCGAGATAAACTTTTTTAAAGAGACGTGTCACGTACCGCTCACACACAATTTGAGTGCAATATATATTTATGTTAAAGCCCGTATTTATATTCTTATCACACACCGTAGAGACGTGAGTCGTTTTTTTTTTATGCCAAGACGTCAATATGAAGGTCGTATATAAACACGAGATTACAATCGGATATTATAATTGCTCTTTTAGACGGTTGGAACATGCCAAGTTCTCCCGATATTTATAATTATTGTTAAATCCAAATATTTGAAAAAATATAAACATATAAAAAATTATATGTATGCAATCATATTGCGCCAAATTTCGAATTTGATCTGAAGATTTTAAATCGCTTTAGATTTGATTCGAATGTGATTCGATCTGACTATATCTGATCAGATCTAAAATTTGGCGCAATATAATCTTACTCATGTTACAATTTCATGTTTTTCCTCGTGCATTCAAATTACTTTTCCACTGAAATGTGAACCATAAATTAATTCCTACATAGGTATCTTCCACCGCTTTTTTTATATAATCGTAAAACAAAATTAAAACAAATTACACATAATATAATATTTCAAAAGGCAATGTTTCACGAGAGTAAATGTATAGGTATGTTAAAACAAAAATTTCGAACATTTGTTCAGCTTGAAGAATCGAACGTCAGTCTGCGACGACGGTGCGTTCGAGTACGGTCCAAGTTTGCCAAATCAATATGTACTTGACAAAACGAAGTAAATAACACACTTACGCTAAAATGTAAATATCTAGCAGCTTATTTCCTCATACAGACCACGTCGTCGTTGTCTACCGACTTCTGACCGACACTGCAAGCGCGCGATAACTGCGGCTCCATGTATATTCGCGAGCTTAAGATCAACGATAAAATATCCCATTGGGAAATTAATCTCTCTCGTACGTTGAATCATCGAACACGCGATATAATCGCAAAACGTCGCTAAATAAATACACATCTTCTGTCGCGATCGCATATAATTGCATTCCGAGAGACATTCCAAAGAGACATACCCGCAAATCTCGTTTCTTTCTCGCAAAAATGCACTATTTACTATCGCCACCATTTGCTATCTTATCCCACGCGCATAAGCGCGTGTAATGCAAGCGCTTTTTACATGATGATTTTTGCACGATAAGGTCTCTTGCGTACACGCACCTTCAGCGCGATTAACTCGTCGATACTCTATTCGCTTGCGTCAGTCACCGATAAATTATTCGTTAATGTTGCGCGACGTATACGCGCGACATACGGCAGCTGACTCATAGAAAGACTTCGCGGAGAATGACGATTGACCGCCAGCAAGATTCCGCCCGCTGACTTCTGCAGAAAATACTAATCTTTCCGTTTCTCCTGTGTCGTTTGGATTTTAATTACTTTCGCTCGCCAATGGAGTGTCTCTTACAGTCGCTTATTGCGATAAACAACATCGATTTTTTTCGAAAGTTGTGCGAAAACAAACGTAATTAAAATATTTGGATAACGCAAAAACACGGAATGTCTCACGGTATAAACTATTTTAAAATATTCTCACATCTATTTTATTATAATTGCAAAACTGTCATATCTTGCAACTAATAGTCAAGAAATATTTATGTGCGTCAATGATTAAAATCAGAGTGAGTTTGACATCTGGGAATCTAAAATTTTTTCAAATCTAACGACAAAATGATAAAATCGTGTGCATTTTAAAGTTGTTAGTAAAATATATCTTAGAGAATTATTAATTAAAATACATATCTCTCGAACAAAATATCTAAAGAGCTTAAACGTTATATTCTCATTTTGCCGCGACAATTTTGCAAGATCCTATTCAATTCCACCTAATACGCGATATTTCGAACCTACTACGTTGCCTAATAACGTAATGACACAGATGGCGTTGTTCGATCTCGAAATTAAAGATTCATTACGCGTATTATTCGCGCGAGTTGCATTTGCATTCCGCGTCTTGCGTAAGTTCGCGTTGAACCTCCGCAATTTCTTCTTTCATCGGTAGCGTCTACAAGAGAACGGTGTTATTCAACGAAAGAGAGCGTCAAAGAGAAGATATTCAACGCCGGTATCATTATTTAAATCGACAATAACTAGCGACGGCTGTAGCGAGATATTTCACTAGGTATCATCGGAACGATTCAGCTATTAGACGACGACGACGACGATGACGACGACGACGACGACGACGACAGTAATATCAGTAATATCTGACACACTTTCGTGAGTTCGATACTCATGGATATATGAAAGTGCACGTGATCTAAAATACAGGATTATATTATATTCGCGACAGAAGTAAGAATATTTCTAGCTTAGAAAATTTTAACTTCGTTACGCGCGTGCGCGCCTATTATATCGTACAAATACATTGAAAAGATTTAAGAATTTTTTTAAAAATAATAATTGCTATTTTTACAATATTTAGTTATCTAAAAACTTCGCGTATAAAAACGCGATACTTTTACTTGT